ATGGTCATCCATTAAAGAACCAGAAGATTCTTTTAGCAAATGATTATCCTTGTACCACTTGTTCACAGGGTAAATTAATAGTCAGACCATCACCTTCCAAGGTCGTTGTTGAATGCCCACCATTTTTACAACGAATTCAAGGGGATATATGTGGACCAATTCATCCAGCGTATGGACCATTTCGGTATTTTATGGTTTTAATTGATGCATCAACACGGTGGTCACACGTAAGTTTACTTTCTACTCGTAATGTTGCATTTGCTCGACTCCTTACTCAAATAATCCGATTACGAGCACAATTTCCGGATTATCCAATCCAGACTATCCGTCTTGATAATGCCAGAGAATTTATATCTCAATCATTTGATGACTATTGCATGTCAATTGGCATCCTTATTGAACATCCTGTTGCACACACTCACACCCAAAATGGTCTTGCAGAATCTTTTACTAAACGTCTTCAGTTAATAGCTAGACCATTACTCATGAGAACTAAACTACCTGTTTCTGCTTGGGGACATTCGATATTACATGCAGCATCACTAGTTCGCATTAGACCAACTGCATATCATAGTTTTTCACCACTACAACTTGTGATGGGTCAACAACCAAGTATCTCTCACTTATGAGTTTTTTGTTGCGCTGTATATGTTCCCATTGCACCCCCACAACGCACCAAAATGGGTCTTTAACGACGACTTGGTATTTATGTAGGTTTTGATTCTCCATCTATTATTAGATGTCTTGAACCTATGACAGGTGATGTGTTTAAAGCGCGGTTTGCTGACTGTCATTTCGATGAATCTGTTTTCCCTCCATTAGGGGGAGAAAAGAAAAAGCCAGAAGAGCAACGAGTTATTAATTGGAATGTCTCGACTTTATCTCATTTCGATCCTCGCATAAATCAATGTGAACTAAAAGTTCAAAGGATCATTCATTTGCAAAGTATTGCAAATCAATTACCAGATGCATTCACTAACACAAAGAAAGTGATGAAATCACATATACCAGTTGCAAATATTCCAGCAAGAATTGATGTCCCTGTAAGACAGTCTATCAGTGTTATTGCAAATGCATCTAAGACACGCCAGAAGCGTGGTAGACCAGTCGGTGCAAAAGAAACTGTTCCCTGGAAGAGGAAAACACAAAAGAAATCAAATAAAGAAATTCGCACTCCTGAAGAGGTCACACTTGCAAAAGGAACAACGAAAATGATTAATCAATCTAAATTTTATAAGTAAGTAGCCCCAGAAGATATGCATGCCCCGGAAGTGGCGCATGCACCTGAAAATAATGAGATCTCAATAAACTATAGAGAATTGTGGGATAGAAATACAGTTATTATTAACGATATATTCTCCTTTGCAGTTACTCTTGATATTGCAGGTGATAATGAGGATCCTAAATCTCAAAACATCGAAGAGTGTCGATGTAGAAATGATTGGCCAAAATGGAAAGAAGCAATACAGGCAGAGCTAAACTCATTAGCAAAACGTGAAGTATTTGGACCTGTAATCCAGACACCTGAAGATGTCATGCCTGTAGGGTACAAATGGGTATTTGTAAGGAAATATAATGAGAAAAATGAAATTGTAAGATACAAAGCCCGACTTGTAGCCCAAGGTTTTTCGCAGAGACCTGGTATTGATTATGAGGAGACATACTCTCCTGTGATGGATGCAATCACATTTCGCTTTTTGATCAGTTTGACAGTCTCAAAAGCACTAGATATGCATCTAATGGACGTGGTTACAGCTTATTTATATGGATCACTAGATAGTGACATATATATGAAAATCCCTGAAGGATTTAAAATGCTTGAAGCAAATAGCTTGAAACCACGTACCATGTATTCAATCAAGCTACAACAAGCTTTGTACGGATTGAAACAATCCGGACGCATGTGGTACAATCGACTCAGCGAGTATTTACTTAAAGAAGGATATGTGAATAATCAAGTTTGTCCATGCATTTTCATCAAGAAATCAAAATCTGGATTTGCCATTATAGCTGTATATGTTGACGATCTAAATCTTGTGGGAACTCTTGAAGAGCACACCACGACTGCTAATTATTTAAAGAAAGAATTCGAAATGAAAGATCTTAGTAGAACAAAATTTTGTCTCGGCCTGCAGATCAAACATTTACCAAGTGGAATTCTTATCTATCAGTCAACATACACTGAAAAAGTCCTGAAGTGCTTTTATATGGATAAAGCTCACCCCTTGAGTTCTCCAATGATTGTCCGATCACTTGATGTTAAGAAAGATCATTTTCGTCCTCTGGAAGAAGGCGAAGAAGTTCTTGGTCCTGAAGTACCATATCTTAGTGCAATCGGTACTCTAATGTACCTTGCAAATTGTACCAAACCTGATATAGCATTTGCAGTCAACTTACTAGCACGGGATAGTTCTGCACCAACTCGAAGACATTAGAATGGAGTCAAGCACATTATGCGTTACCTTCGGGGAACGACTGATATGGGGTTGTTTTATTCAAGAAAATCAAAGCCCCAGTTGATCGGATATGCAGATGCAGGTTATCTTTCTGACCCACATACAGCCCGATCACAAACAAGGTACTTGTTTACTTGTGGTGGTACTGCTATATCATGGCGATCTATTGAAACAGACCATGACTGCAACTTCCTCAAATCACGCTGAGATACTTGCAATTCATGAAGCAGGTAGAGAGTGTGTTTGGTTGAGATCTGTTATACAACATATTCGAGAATCATGTGGACTCTCCTCAATCAAAGATAGTCCAACAATATTATATGAAGATAATACAGCATGTATTGCACAAGTAAGAGGAGGATACATAAAAAGTGACAGAACCGAGCACATTTCACCAAAATTCTTTTCCACACACGAGCTCCAGAAGAACCGTGATATCGATGTTCGGCAGATATGCTCTAGTGATAATCTAGCAGATTTATTCACTAAAGCGCTTCTAACTACAACATTCAAGAAGTTAGTGGACAACATTGGAATGCGTCAACTAAAGGATCTTCAGGATTGAACTAATGAGGGGGAGCAATTGATCAAAGAGGTATTAGCATACTATACTCTTTTTCCTTCGTCCAGGTTTTATTCCACTGGGTTTTCCTGGCAAGGTTTTAATGAGGCAGTTTTAATCTATGCAATACCATACACAAGAATACTGTACTCTTTCTCCTTCACTAGGGTTTTGTCCCACTGGGTTTTCCTTAGTAAGGTTTTAACGAAGCATATTCTTAGTGAAGTTTTGTGGACCCCAAGGAGGAGTGTTATATATATCTCATAAATGTATGGGGTCCCAAATGTTGTATATCATCCATGAGCTCACAGTTTTAGGCTTACAAAGGAAGGCAACACAGTGGCGTACAGAGGAAGCCAATTTTGAAGCCTATAAAAGGCATTGTGCATGTACTAATAAGAGATACAATTGAATACAAAGCAGTTATCTCTCTCACTCTCTCTCGTTCTCTCTTCGTGTTCTCTCTCTGTCTCATTCTCTCTCTATTTGTGTGTGTGTGAAAATTTCTATAACAAATATTACTATAGATATACACACACATATTCATTACACTTATTGCTTTGTCCATGTTATGTCGCATTCTTATCGTCTTGTACATACAGTTATTGCTTTGTCCATGTCATGTCGCATTCATTTCATCTTGTACATACAGAAATTCCTTCAGCACACACATGATTAACAAAAAATGGAATTTAAGATAGCTCATAAATCAACATTCAAAAAAAAAAAAAAAAAACTCTTTAATCAAATAACTGTCTCTTCATACATGAGGGGGTTGATAATGAGTAGGGGTGGCAATTATGTGGATCATAACCCTATCATTTCAAGTTTGTATCTCTCTTTTCTCTTTCTAGAAACCTCCACTGACCCCCTCTTTCAGTCGCCACCTCCCACTTCGTCTTCTCTCTTTTCTCCCTGCTCCTTTACATGGGAGTAGGGAGGTGATGTTTCCTGCCTCCCATAGGCTAAATAAAATCGGCGTGTAATAGTAAGTACGCTCCGTGGGAGGTTTTCACGCCATTTTTGCTTTTATTTTGCTAGATCTGCTTTGGTTTGGCTTGTTTCCAGCCAGACTGGGTGGCTCTGTATTTCTTTCTCCGACTAAATCTCAGATCTATGTCAATTTTTGTGTTCCTCGACTTGTGCGGGATTTTGGTAGTTTTTCCACCAGTCGGAGGCGCCTTGTGAATGGAGCTTTGGAGCAGTTGCCTTGCTGATAACCTGACCTTTATGTCATTCCTGTTGATGCTCGTCTCATGTGCTGGCTTCCGTTATTCTTCTCAACAAATCTGGAGACTGGTCTTCATTTTTCTTCTTTGTGCTTCAAGTTTTGTTTGCCTTTTTACGGCTTGCCTTTATTGCATCTTTACTGTCCTTTATAAATGTGTTGTGTAAATGCCGTATGGTAGTTCTCTTATTGCCAGGCCAAAAAAATAAAAATAATTGTGTCATTTAAATATAAGAGTATTGGTAAATCTAAACCCAACCTATTTAATAATCGTGTCAAAAACCTTCAATATTAACCCAACCTTTTTAATAATCGTGTCAAAAACCTTCAATATTAACCCAACCTTTTTATTAAACGAGTAAACGTATTAACTTGTTTAATGACGTATTTATCAAAACGAAACATTTAATATTTAATCAAATAATAAATAATAGAAAAATATTATCACTCTGAACCCAAAGAAAATTTATGTTAATATGACTTAACTATCTATAATAATTAGATTTAAACAGGTAACATATTACATAAGTCATATTCACGATTATAACATATTGAGTTAAACGGGTCATAAACGAATTACACGGGTTGAACTCCTCAACCCTAACCCGACATGACTAAGTAAAAAGATTAATCCGTATATCGTGTAAATCCGTTTATGACCCGAACTCGTTTAAAGTCTGCCCAAATCCGTTTATTTCGTTTCGTGTTCAAGTCGTGTCATAATTTGCCACCCCTAATAATGGGAGTACTCGGCTTCCATAAACACCACCATTAGATATAAAAATACATAAAAACACTGTTTGGGAATACAAAAATATGTTTGCTAACAAGGTGCCCCTCCCTCATTTCAAATTTAAACATAGCTCGCCGCAATTGAACAACTTGCTAAAACAGAGAATCAACAATGAAAAACAAAAACAAAAACAAAAAATTGTCAATCTTGAGAAATTTATTCTGGTTTGATGAATTCCGATTATATGAAATCCAAGTATATATCATGAAATCAAGCAACAGCTGCTGCTGCTGTCTTTAAATATCAAGGAGCAACCTCCGTGGATCCTCCACCACATCTTTGATACGGCGCAAGAAGAACACAGCCTCTCTTCCATCAATCAGCCTATGGTCATATGTCAGGGCAATGTACATCATTGGTCTCGGAACTACGTTGCCTCCAACCACCATTGGACGGGAAACTATCGAGTGCATACCCAGGATTGCCGACTGTCAAAAATCTAATTCAGATACTGATAACCAAAGATAAAGGAAAACAACGGAATTGACAATAGAGTAACCCACTTTTATGTAGTCAAATTAATGGGAAAAAAAAAATTCCAATTCAAGAGAAAAACCACTCTTTCATCAGATAATTCTCTCTATATATGAAGAGGCCATACCTGAGGGGGGTTGATAATGGGGGTACTCAAAAGACTTCCATAAACACCACCATTAGATATTGTGAATGAACCTCCGGCCATCTCATCAATTGATATTGATCCATCAACTGCCTTCTTAGCAAGAGTGTTGATCTCCTTTTCTATCTCAGCAAAATTCATCTTGCCAGCATTGCGGATAACTGGAACAACAAGCCCCTGAGGAAAACCAAAAGATCAAAGTCTGAGCCAAGAAGCTTAGCAAAATTCATACTTTCTTCCAAATATTTTTTATTATTGTCAATCAGTAGAGCAACTTAACACAAGCCACAGGAAGACAAACAAAAAGGACTGGGAGGAGTCGAGTGGTATCAAGCAGACAAAAAAATAATAATAAAAGGGGAACGCATCCCAAGAACTACACAACGGCTGAAGCTAAGAAAGGCCCTAAGAACCCAAGGAGCCCAACTTGAAATCGTCAAAAAACCAGCAGAAACATGCAACTTGAAATCAGTCAAGCTAACATGATACATATTTGAAGACAAGCTCCCCAGACTAATTTGAATGTAGTGTTGTTTATGGGACAAGAAAAAAAAAAAAATTTGTTTGTAGTATAGCCCATTTCTGAAAATATTTTGAAATAGATGAATTATACATATCAGACGTGGCTTCATTTTGCCAAAGGTTAATGGAAATGAACACTTGAAAAATAAAATAATGTGGCCGGCAATTTGTGCTCCCATATTTGGATTTAGATGGAACGAAACACCATATATACCTTTCCATCTTATAATTCAACAAAATATACCTTTCCATCTTAGTTATGCTGATAACTTCATCTGGCATTTCAAAAAATTCTGGGAATGTGATAAAAAATACAAAGCGCAAAAGGTATATTAGAAATGATGTAAAACACTAAGGGCTATTCAGAACAAGCCCCAAATTCACCCCACCACCAAGTAACAAGCCCCAAATTCTCTTTAACCTAAATTTCAAGGCATGTTCTCCATGTTCAATCTTTCTATATTATGCTAAAATTAGAACTAAATCATAGAAACTGACAAACCTTTGGAGTTCCAACAGCTATGCTAATATCTATGTAGTCTCTATATATGATATCATCACCATCAATAACCGCATTGATGATTGGTTGATTCTGAAGCCCACTAACAGCAGCCTGAAATTGGAAACAGGAAAATATATACATCTCAGAAATCGAACAATATACACAAAAAATTAAAAAAAGAATCTCAAATTCACACGTGCAAATATACATCTTCATCCATTTCCCATTTCTAGCTATTTAATGCAAACAAATTACATACTTTCACAAATCCTGACATAAGACCCAATTTCACTCCATGCTTTTCAACAAAGGCGTCCTTGTAATCAGAACGGAGTTTCATCAAATTAGTCCTGCAATAAGCAGCACATCAAGGAGGGAAATGATGTAACTATATTTTATCACAAGAAGCGAATGATAACCATATTAAGATTTGGAACATAATTTGAATAAATAAACAAAAATTACGTAAAATTACATTAATCTCTACTAAAGTTTAGGGTAATTTTCACACGCATGATAAGATTGGCCAAAATTACAGAACTAATCTGAAGTTTGACACTGAGATCTACAACCCCACTCCCGTCAGCTCGCCTTTAAAGCTGTTAACATGTATCTTTTGCAATACAATACATGCCCTCAGAGAGTTAAATGGTCAGAAAAACAGCCATAACAGTGTTCCTAACAGTATGGATTTACCATAATGAAAAAGATAGACATACCCTTTGTTAAATTTGCTAAAAAAAAAATCAGAACTTAATGGTCATTGCATCACCAGCAAAGCATTGCCCCTATCATCCCCATTCACCACCACTAATTGGCAAATATAGGCTGGAAAAAAGGAAAAACACATAAAGAAGAAAAGAAGAGAGAGAATGGCTGTTGGAGAGAGACATGTGAAATGGAAGGGGCAAGAAGATATCGGAGAGTGTCATGCCGGAGAAGGTTGTAGGTCATGGTGTGGGTTACAGAATTGGGAGGGAGAGTTTCAGACCCAAGAAATTGCCAATCCCTTTTTTCTGTCTGTTTCTCTGTAAATGGACCCAATCCTTATTCTTTCTAGCTATTATTGCCTCTTTAAATTTGACCCCAAAGTAACCAGTAAACCACACCATCTCTCACCAACTTCATTCTCTGCCTAACCCAGCATTGGCACCACCAATGGTGGGTGGTAATGGGTTTGCCATAAACGATGTATAAGGGGTGTTGAGTGGAGCCATGGGAGCTGTGCCAAAATGTGAGATAGTATAAATAAAATAACGCGAGAGAGAATCAGTATGCTCTCTCATTCTCTCTGCCATCACATTCTTTTCTTTTCTCCCCTTTCTCAGTTTTCTTCTTCTGCTTCTTTTTCTCCGATCTATTTTCAATCTCATAAACCAACTTGGTATCAAAATGACGAGGAGGGACTGAACCAACAAACCAGAAACAAAAGCAATGTTGATATCAGTGTACGGATGCTGACAACAGCATGGAAAAACCTGCCACCATGTTGGCCACTGTTCGGGGATCCTGATCTGACTCCATTTGCTATTTCTTTATGATTTTTTCAAAGAGTGGGTTTGAAGGAATCAAGATCTAGGGTTTCTTGACGCGATTTCTTTGCTCCAATCTGTAACAGAAGAGTTTGATTAGTATGTTTGTGCGGTTGTGCATATTTGAAGAAATAACTGAGTTATGGATTTTTATTTCTCACCAGGTGATGGGTTTGTTTATAAATCTGCTACAGTTACTATTCTGTATGCCTAATTTCAATCTTTTGATACAGTAGCACAAGGTTACACTTCTGTTAATCAGATTGTGTCTTCCTAGTGGTTGTTTAATATTCTTTTTTTGCTTATCTTGTGTGATTGGAAGAGATTAATTTGTATTTGAGACTGACCACGAGATGTCAAGAAAGTGAGATCTCCCAAATCCCAAAACAGGGGATAGTGGGTAACCGGCTTCGCAATATTGATATCACAGAATCTTGCCTTTGTATTCCTTCTTTGTACATGTCTGGGAGTGCTGGCGAGGCAGTACTAATGTCAAATACGCTACTCTCCAGATCATAACAATGAAGTTAGACAATGGTGATCGTCCATTGTCCTGCTCCTTTCCTAGGCTTTTTAGGATTGCTGTTGATAGACATGCCTTGGTTTTCAACTGTTATCGGCTTGATAACGGTAGGACTACGTGTGATGTGCAATTTCGGTGTCATTTCAAAGATTGGGAGTTGGATGATGTTTGTGGATTTCTAGACCTGGGAGCTGGATGGTAGAGGCGCTGACTCCATTTTTTAGGTGCCCTCTCCTCGGGAGATTTGAGGTTCATTACTTGCTCTATTGCCTTTTCAACTTCTATGGCTCTGATTTCCCTTGGAAGATGGTTTGGCGCTCGAAGACTCCTCTCAGAGTGGCCTTTTTTTGTCTAGACTGCAGTTTGGGCCAAGATTTTGATGACGGATAACCCAAGAATAAGGAAACAGGTTAATGTCAATTGGTGTTGCTTGTGCAAGAGGGATGGAGAGTATGTGGATCACCTTCTTTTGCATTGCCTTATGGCTCATGACTGTTGCAGCTTTATTTTTGGTTTGTTTGGCATCCAGTGGGTTATGCCTTGGTCTTCGAGAGGTTTGATTAACGTTTGGAGAGGCTGTTTTGTGGGAGCCCACGCTCGTGATTTTTGGAGGGCGGCACCCTTTTGTGTTTGGTGGTGCATTTGGAAGGGAGTAGAATAGAAGATCTTTTGACAGGGAGGAATCTTCCATTGGGGCTTTGAAATTTTATATTATTAGTTCTCTTTTTAGTTGGGGGATGGGGAGACATTGTAAATCTATAGAGGAGTTTGTTGATTTTTTGGGTTCCTTGGGTCCTTAGGACCTCTTTCTTTGGCTTCAGCTTTTGTGTAGCTTTCAGGATGCATTCCCTTATTGAATGCTTTCTAATATATTCTTACTTAACCAACCAACCAACCCAAAAAAAAAAGAGTAAAGGAAGAATGGGTTATCTGACTATTAAGATAAAGGAACCAAAGGTTGATCTCATATGAGAAATGGGAGGCTGAAAATTCAACGGTTATGTCATGGCTTCTTCACTCCATGAAACCATAAATTAGTAATGGATACCTATTCTTAAGAACCGCCAGGAAGTTTGGGATGCCGTATCCCAAAGTTATTCGAAGATAGGTACAGTGTTGTTAAAGGCGCGCCTAGCTAGGCTCACTGATGTTTACTAGGCGCGCGTCTCGGTTGCACCTCGTCCTGTTTGTGAGGTGCGCCTAGGCGCGCCTCACTGATATTTGCTTAAAAAAATACGATTGTTTTATTTCTTAAGCCAAAAAGGGTACTTTTGGCAACTTAATTAACAAAAAAGAAAGCTCAATCATACGATATAAGGAACTTTTGTTCAAAAGAATAAAAAAATAAGAAAGCCCAAGAGTCAAAGTGTTAACCGAACAACGATAGAATGAGATTGTGAGACGAAGACGAAGCCTTAGTTGCAGAGATGAACGACGAAGCCACGTCAGTTCTTTCTTTTCTTTTCTTTTTCTCTCTTCTCCTCTAGATCTCTCCTCTCTTCTTATCTTTGTTTACATCTCTCTCTTCGTCTAGTTCTCTCATCTCTCTGTCTTTTTTTTTTTTTTGCTCTGTTTTTTCTTTTTTCTTTTTTTCTTGTTAACATTTTTTTTTTTTTGTTAACATATTTATTTCTTTTTGTGCTTTGTTTTGCCATTCAAAAAACACATGTTGCTTTGCCTTTCAGGAAAACAAATTTGTACTCTGTTTTATGGTTGTTGGATGCTTGTATAGTTGATGGATTTACTTTTTTATATTTGATATTAATTTTTAGAATATTGATATGACTTATGAGATATGGATGTTATTATGGTAGTTTAAATTTTCAATTGTGCGTCTCACTTCACTCAGGTGTGCGCCTCGCGCCTAGGCTCCAAAGGACCTCTAGCGCCTTGGTGCACCTTGGGCCTTTAATAACCATGGATAGGTAATCTGGCACAAATTTATGATTTAAAGCGCCAATTCCATGACACCGAACAAAGAACTTTATCATTGGCAACTTTCATACTCTGCCGGATTTATGGCACGAGTTAGATCACTATCAAAGGCTAGATATGAAGTGTTCTGCAGATGTTGCTAAATTGCAGAAGATGATTGAACAAAGCATTTTTGAGTTTTTAGCTGGTTTAAATCCTGAATATGACCAGGTTAAATTTCAGATTTTAGGTCAAAAGCCCCTTCCCTCTCTGATGGGGGTATACACATAAGTTCAAAAGTGAGGAAAGTAGACGTGTTGTTATGCTCCAGTCAATGCCACAGAAGAGCTCTGCACTTGTAGCCTATACCCAGCGAGATAGAATGGAGGGACTAAGAAATATGGTAAGAATAAATTAATGGTAGTTGACAAATTGTTTTGTGATTATTGCAGCAAAACTAGACATGCTAGAGAAAATTGTTGGAAGATACATGGTCATCCTCAGTTTGGACGTAGAGGAGGTCGGTCAGGTGGTGGTTCTCGATTCCGTGCTCACCATATTACTGTTGTTATCTTCTTCAGCCACTACCACTCCACCAACTCAATGTAATACACCTACTCTTACTAAGGAGGAAGTTGAGAATTTCAAGCCCATAATATCACAATTATAGACTCCTGCAATAGCATCCACCTCTTTTGCCCACTCAGTCAACTTGTCTGAAGCTCTAAGTGCATTTTGTAGCACATTTAATCACCATTGGATCATTGGTTCAGGGGCATCCGATCATATGACTGGCTTGTCTACTTTATTTTCTTATACTAATTGTTCAGGTACACAAAAAGCTCAGATAGCATATGGTTCTTTTTCGTATGTCTCTGGAAAGATTTTTTTTTTTTTTTCGATAAGTATGTCTCTGGAAAGATTGTTGTAGACAAAAATAACCAAGTTGCTAAAGTTATGGAAGGTGCCGAAGAAAATGACAATGGCCCTAACCTGAGTGTTATTCCTAATTCACTTCCTAGTGAACCGGTTACTGCACCTCCAGATAGTCCTCCCAGTCTCCCCACAAATGAAGAAGCAGAAGCCGAGAGACCTAAGACTCCCACTTACAACGTGTACTCCAGGAGGAAAAAGTCCATCATCAGCTCACCAGCTCCAATTGTCAGCCTTGAAACGGGTAATGAAAATAATCCAAATTCTAGTTCTAGTTCAGAAATTCATTCTAATAATGACCTAGATTTGCCCACTGCTCTTAGAAAGAACTTGTACCCGACACCCCATGTCTAACTTTGTATCCATGCAGAGTTTATCACCACAATACTGAACCTCTCTCTCTGTCTCAGCAAGTTCCCTCATCTGTCAAGAAGCTTTAACCTCAAAA